CTTTGGCAGGTCGGGGAATTCGGGCACTGTTCGAGGGGTGGCGGGGGATAACTGGTTGGAAGTCGAGAGGGTCTCACCAAGGGACCTTGGTGAGGTGAAGATGCGGACTTGTGTAGGCATTCTCGTCAGCCAGGGTCGGATGGAATCAAGCGTAGAGAGGCGAGACGTGGGTGCTGATGTTCAGGCCCGCGCAGGGCAGTGCGGTAGAAATAGTGGCAGTCTTGGAAGCAGTAGGATGGCATTCCACTTGAAACGCCACGGCAGCGGCATTCACATAGGTATAGAATAAGGGGCGAAGGGAACTTGAGTCCAGGAGATGGGAGGGAGCTACCGGGACTCGGCCGGACTAGGCTCGGGATATAAAGCGGTGGGTACGGGAAGCTCGGGGGGTGCTGAACCGGGAGAAGAGCAACATCAACAAGTAGAACAGGTGGGACCGTCATCCAGTGGTAAAGTGGTAAGCCCACACTGACGAAGGAGGAATGGGTTCTGGTAGCCGCCAGGATGGCGTGGGCCGCCCTCAATGTCTGCCATGTGCATGTGGGACTCTTCCCGGGGGCATGCTGCCATGCGCAGGCGGGCGGACGGACGGACGGACATACTAACAGACAGGGGGTGACAGAGGGGGAGGGGGCCGGGATGATGGAGGCCAAGGAGGAGCCGCGAGACTGCCTAGACCAGAGCAGGGCCAAAAACCGAAGCATGTGGCCGTGGGGAAGTCATGGGCAGAGACAGGGTGATTGGACACAAGTGCCGCAGTGCAGTGGGTTGGTGATGTGAAACTCCTCCGCAAGCCCCGAAGGCTCAATATGCGATGCAGCCGTGTGGAATCTGCCGAGCCATTTTACGTCTCGGGAAAAACGAGAAAAACAGAGATGCAACGTACTTCGTACTAGCGAGGGTGACAGATGGAGACCAACAAACTTGGTGCTCAAGCACGTAACATGTCCGAACTAGGTAGGTGTGGGATGCCTGCGGGTGCTGCTTGGTGTTGGTGGCTGGGCGTGATGGGACAGTATCGGGAGGCTGAAAGAAGAAATAAGAGATAATATTGGACAGGGTCGATGCTGAAGTCGTTCTGGACGTCGCTTGAGACTTATTTCGATGGTCGGTTGCCTGATATCCTATTCACAAGGCCAGCAAGGTCATCTGCCCCTCCGGTGGCGCGGCGGCTAAGCTCGCACACGAACAACGGAACTGCCGCTAACGCCCTCTCAACTAGGTACCTACCCTCCCTCAGTATTAGTACAGATGATTCGTGTCTCGCTGCGTCACAGATCGCGAAGGGCCGCCAGGCAGACAGGGTATCGCAAGAAATGACGTGGTTGCAACCCCCACACCCAAGGATAAGAGGGCAACAACCAGGCGTCGCTGTTCTTTCCAACAAATACCAACCCAAGACAAAAAAGCTGCGTGCAGGCGATGGCGCGCTACTCGGCCCGCGATCCGGCTGCAGCCACTCAAGAGTTTAAAAAAGTTGGCGGTGCGGCGTCTTCCAGTACGCTGTTCCGGTCGACCAGGGTTTGCTCGTCTCCAGTCTGGGTTCTGGGTTGCTGTTCGGACAAGAGGATGTGCGCCGGTTGGCTTGGGTTAGGTGGCAGTGGCAGATGGGGAAACTCCATGTTCTCCAGGCGGGGGAAATTTGTAAAATGCTCCGCACTCAACGACCATTCTGGAAGGACCCCAGGGTTGAGTGGGGTGGTAATTTTCAAGTGTGACGAAAGTATTCCAATACACTCTTTCCAAGGTTGCGGATAATCACGAGAGTGCTGCGTGTTAAAACAACAAATATCACTCCTCACAGGTTTTGCATGCTTGACCAGATTTGTTAGCCCTATATTGTATTAGTCCGGACAACCCGATCGGGGTCCATTGGGCTGGGCGGATCTGGCACTATGTACAGACGAAAGCAGGCGAGAGAGTCGAAGCATGTGAAGAAGCCAAGCACGTCAGGCGGTCGGCGCCAAAGGTGATAAGCATGCGAAGCGGGACGCTGCAGTAATGCCTCCCGGCCGAACGGATAGGTGGGGCGGCCACTTACTGTGTAAGGATCAAATTCTAGCAAGAAGTCTTTCTGCGAGACTTGGAGACGAAGAGGGGCTGGCGATGGGATGCTAAAGTTTTACTACCCACGGCGGCTTATTTCAAGACATTGGCAGAACTTATTTAAAGAGTACCTAGTTGAACCCAGACACCCAGACCACCGGTGCGCCTTTTTAGATCGGCTGGATTGATCTGTGTTACCGCCCGGAGGGGTCGGAGATGCAGACGGGATGTTCGATGATGCACCCTTCGATTCGGGGGAGGATGGACGGCTCGGGTCAAAGGACGACGACGTTGGCTTGCTCCCCTGCCACTGGCTTCTGGTGTTGGATCGCCTCTGCCGGGGCTGTCTGACTGCCAAGAACCCCGCAAGCCACTGACGACAGCGGGCAGATGGCCCCGCAGAAACCCCAGGAACCCCGGGGGGGATCACCGCTCCCTCCATGAACCTTCCCAACCTTCATCCCACATGCCACACCCGGCCACCGGGTAGCCAGCAGTAAACTCTTCCCTGACCGTGGCTTGTCACGATCTCGGCGCAGATAGGTAGTAGTAGGCAAATATAGATTGTATAGTTCCTTTAGCACCTTAACCACACGTGTAGATGTGGTGTGTCAGTTAAGGTACTTAACTGCCAGCCTAGGTGGCGACGAACCTTGATGGTGGGGCATCTCTTGCCACCTTGAATCCCCGGATCGTCTGAAGTCGAGTTCTGTCGCAACACAAAACGGGGAATCAAGTTTCTTTTGATTCATATCTCGAATTGTTTGTGGGCGGTATATAACAAGGAGCCCTATACAAAAACCCTACATCAACGACGGGGTAGGTTCCCTCATATTTTTGGTTATTCGGATAGTTAAGGAAAGAAGGCGCATGATATCCCGCCGTTTCTGGTATAATAAGGTACCTCCACAATCTGCAACCCGCATTCATTTCCGCTTTCTGTTACCTGGTGAAAAGTAACAACATATCTATGGGATTTTGGAGAAGATGAAAACCCCCAGAAGACAATGGAAACGACATGACACGAAAACGCCCCCCCAACAACCACGGCCTAGCCGTAAGAGCATTCATAATCTCATCAACCACCCAGTTCGAAATAACAAGGGAAAGCCAGTAACGTCGGCGTATTCATACAATCTCCCCACATCACTACCTAGAGTACCATCAACGGACAGCGATCTGGCTCGGCGCCTGAACGAACCCACCCACGTCATTCCCCAAACAAGTAACAACAACATTCCGCCTTCAACGACGCAGATATCCCCGAACATCTTCCTGTCTCAACATAATGTTTCACCTTATTAGACGAGTATTACTTGCAAAACCGGCATCACCTTCATGCTAATACATTCGCGGGGCGGCCCGCTGCCGATCAGGGGCGATCAGGGGCGTTTATAAGTCGACCGCCACTCATCCCCAGGAACCCAGTATTCGCGGCACCTTTTTCTCATGCCCGCCCTGTCCAGAGGTCGGGCACTTAATAAGGCGGCTCAGGGGGGTTCGGCGTCGGGGGGTCGGGGACGGGTTGCGGCTTCGGCTTTGCCTGTCTCACGGGGTTGGTTGGGGTATAGTGTTGGACCATGGCTAGGTCTAGTGGGGATGCCTTTCAATTTACATCGTCGTTAACGACGTCCTCTATTAGGTGGTATGAAACATATAGATGGTATGAAACATACCTGGAAGTGCTAGGGATAGCGCGTGGTCGGGGGTTGGCACAGAGGCTGGGAGGAACTGCCAAGGTGTGTCGAGATAGCCCGGATGCGATATAAGGCCGATGTGTTAATGAGACTCCAGCGCAAGGATCACAGCGACGAATGTTAGAATGCGTGAGAGGATGGGCTGCCCTGATCCTCAACCTACCTGGGCCGTCGGCGCCTCTTTAAACCAACGACCGCCCACTCTCCCCCACCCAGAGTCCTGCCTATCTTATAAATGCCTGCGTAACGCTGTGGCACCCCGGGATGGGCAAGAAACCTGGGTGACATGCTCTCCAAAGTGAGACACCGTAGGAACCCGATGAGCGAGCTCACTGAAAGCTTCACGTGGCACGCCACTTTCGCGGGAAGTTTGATCGTCCCAGGTGGGGGGGGGAGGGGGGTGGTGTGTTGGAAGATGGTGGGTGGCCTCTCGGCACCGAAGTGCAGATTTTCTTCTGGCGGTAGAGTGCCAACTGCAATTCTTCCCCTTCCGCTCGACTGAGGGGCCTCGGCGGCCAGCGCTGTGTGCGTGTATCATCAGGATCGGGGAGACGCCGCACGGATAAAATCCATAATCTGGCGATTGCGGAACGTCATCGTCCTTGGACAGGACCGGATACCCATAGGATCGTCCAGGGCAGGGATTGCAAACCTTGTTCTGCTGCTCAGGTGACAGCCTGCGGGAGCCTGGGTGTTACCCGATGGAGAGGGTTTCCAGATATTAAGGGAGCGTCTTAGGACGGCTGCGTTAAGCCTCGGTGCACCAGTACTGGGGGTTTATGTATGTCATTGGGCTGCATATTCGCTGCACGTCCCAAGCGTGCAGCAACTTCCATGTACGTCGAGCCTTCGAGAGGATATACCCGGGTCCGTGCTCAACGCTGGCGGCCGCTGGGGCACTCGGTTGTAGCATTTCGTGGCCGCATCTTTGGGCCGGTCCACAATATCAGACCGGAGAGTAGTATCTCGAGCAAGGACGAGAGGGGATCAGGCAGCCGTGGCCGTTTGAAGGGCCACCCTCGGGCATTCCGAATTATCCCGCCGACTTTCTGGGTAAGCAGCAAGAGAGAGTGCCATCTGTGGTGATCCTGAGGACGGCTGATCCACCGTTGCACAAGCCCGGACGAGCCAGAGAACAGGGGAGATCGCGCTCGGCCTGCTATCAGGACCCGGAGCTGGCAGACCACTCGGCTCGGGATGCCACGCTTCACCCTGACCTCTTCCCGGTGGCGAACGGACGTTCGCGGGTTCCTAGATGTATCATCCACTGTCCACCGAACCGCGGTTGTAGTCCGAGATCTGACTGCCTTGGTCGCAGAGGGCTCTTGCGGCTAGATTCAGCACCCATGCAGAGACTAAGTCTTGGGTTCATGGGACGTGGGTAAACACACAGTCGTGCTTTCGATGTATCAAAATCGGAGCCGAGTCTTGACCTGACCCCCACAGCACCTGTCTTGGATGCGAATGTTTCGAATTCGGTCCGTGGGGAACCACGTGGGGCCGCTTTATATTATTTCTGGGGTGGATATGTGAGAAATGAGAGGATGATGTGTGGTTCTACCCTTTTTCCCCTTCACTCCGGGTGCCAGTGACTCACCCCATGTTACTCTTGCCCGTTGTTCTTGCCCACTCTTACCTGCCTTACCTAGTACTCCTGCTCTTGCCCGCTGCTCTCTGCCGAGGGGTGACCCCCAACTTCCTTATCGGTTCGGTGCTGTCACGAGTGAGGGAAAGGAAGGAACCTAGGGTTACCTCTTTCGTGTTTTGGTCCTCGCCCCGCTGTGCTTCGGTTACCCTGATGGTCCCTTTTCAACCAACAGTGGCATTTTGCAAGTTGTAAATCCGTCGATTGTCTGGAAAAAGAAGACGCCGGTCTGGCCCCTGTCAATTTCCTCCCCCTCCTACCCTTGAGACAAAACGGGCAGCAGATCCTCTTGGCGCCCCCGCATATGCCAGTCAGAGCATTTTGGGGCCTGTCCTGCATACCCGAATCCGCCTCGCCATCGCGTCAGACGACGTCGCAAGAACCGCCCAGATCGGGTACTGTTTGTCCCTGTGCAAATGCCGGGTCACCAGTTAGGTGATCCCCCGGTGTAGTTTCGGCAACCCTAACTTGACCAGAGTCTAACCCGAGTTACTCGTTTACTGTTCCTTTCGGCGAGATAGCTACCCCCTTCACTCATCTGAGGGTCAACCTTTTTCCTTAATTTTGATACGAAAGCCGTCGCCAGCCACGACACTCGTGACAGTGTGGCAGTCGTGACAAACACACGATGATCAAACGGAAGATTGATTACCTAGTTTGTAGAACACTTCCCTGGTCGTCCCGGAGTCCTTTGCTCCTACGGCAGTGCCATCCGTTTTGGAGAGGCATGGCTGAGACGGTTATGGTTCTTCTGCCGTCAAGAGTTCGGCCCCCAACTTTGTCCGAGGACCCAGAGGCAAGCGCGCACTAAACCAATAACACTGCAGTTTCCAGCTTCCTGCTCCGAAAACTCGGCAAGCACACTCTCCGCGATCAATGTCACCTTTCACATCACATGTTCCTACCCAATCTCAACCACCATCTCGCTCACGCCAGCAAGTCTTGCCAGTCTCTCCAGCCAGCCAGAAGCCTCACCTGATGGCGAGCTAGACACACCGAATTCAGGTTTCTGCGCACCAAGCTGGCTGGGACCGGTCGCGACGGCATTGAGGCGCGGCCATTCACCCGTGTTCTTTTCCGCTGATGATCCTATCTCTCAAACCAACCTTCAAATTGTGCGCCTCAGTGATCGTAACATAGGTCCGACCAGGAGCAAACAGGTATCAAAACCGGTTCGTAGACGATTTAATTCAGATACTCGCCGCCCATAAAACAAAATCTGGGAACTCACCCCACGCACACAAGGCGACGGCCACCAGAACACTCAATCATCTGCTACAACAAGATACAGAGCCCGGGCCAAGTCATCTCCCTCGACATCTTGCATCTCCATCTCCCCGCGTAGCTCCGCGAGCCCCGGCAGGGCCGTATCGGGTACTTCCGGTGCAAGTTCAAGCTTGCGCTGGGCGTGAACCATGACGCGGGCTTTAGCGACGTAGACGTGCATCGCTCGTTCGTGGCCCTCCTTCTGCGGGACCGAGAACTTGGCTACTGGTGTAGGGTGATCGGGGAAGGAAAATCAACAGAAACCGACACCTGCCTTGGCTAGATATAAAAGCTCCGACATTCCCAATATCACCGACCACCCCCAGAATGGCTCAACGGTCACTGGGGGTGGTCAAGTCCCCCAGGCAAAACACTCCTGGTTACTCTCACTGAGAGGTCACCGGTTCGAGCCGTCCCAGGGTAACGTAGAAAGGGTACACTCTCTTCTCCAGCCACCTACCCAACCTCCTCTCCTGTACCTCCCTCTTCTGCAAACCCCAACGGGTTTCGTAGCTAGTTAGCTCGCCCCAAACTAGCTGGTGAGGTTTTGCTTTTGTTATCTATTTAATTTGAACTCCCTCGACTCGCCAACTACATACCTATACTGCTTGACCAAACCTAGTTATCATTTCGTACTAGCCTAGCTCAGCTAGGGAGTTGCGGGATCCTTGAGAGTCGGGAAGCTTTAATCTGAGTAATAAGATGCAACTGATGTGGGAAAGCAATGCCGAAGTTGCTGGTTTGCCTGCTTTGGCAGACAATGCATATCTTATTGGTTGGTCTGGGGTGCCAACCGGTTGCTTTTTGCCGGTGCACCGATCCCACGCCCCGGGGCTTCGGAGGCTCGGCGCCCCACCTACATATACCCTTCACTCAATTGCAAGCGAGACAACCCCTCAACCCCACACCATAATCCATCAGCCTCAACTTTAACCTGGACAATACCTTACTGTGGGCACATGCCGGGCACATCTCGACGTAAGCGGCTTTTTTACCTCGGGAATAATTAGGAAGATGAGGCGGTTTGGCTGTCCCCAAACTAAACCGAATAGAAGAGGTGACAGAAACGGGGATAAAAATACACATGATCCATCCCAATCAGCTCGAGCTGATTTCATAAAAAAGCGCCATCTTCTCGAGCTCTAATTAGTGTCCTTGGAATTGAATGGCGGAGTGTCAGATGCCATACCCGCTCGCTCGGTTCCTAGTAGCCGAGCGAGGCCGAACAAAGTGACGGCTAGGCAGCTCTGTCATTTTGCAGGGACAACCTTCATAAGAAGCGGAGTTGGACGTCACACACTGTCTCATCTCACTCCTGTTCGCTCTCAACA